TAATACTTATTTTATCCTGGCAACAACAGCAGGTGTTCAGATTGAAGCCACGCAAGACATTATTCTGCATATCATAGCCAGATTTTATACATTGTTATATAAAAACAGCATACTTTTTAAAAAGCATCCCTTTAGGGGCAGGTTTAAAACACTAAAGTGGTTCAACTAAATGCTACTCAGAGCGTGAAAGGCACCCAGCCATTTTGGCAGTAGTCCCACCGCTTAGCAACATGGTTCAAAACGAGCCAATTTTGGGCAAGGACATCAGGCTTGTTTAACCTGTGGTGAGTGAGTGGATAATGGGAGAAAAAAAATCAGATAATGGTTAGATGAAAGGAATCCAGCTGATACTGAATTTCACATTTTACCTACTCTTCATTGGTAGTTCTCATCAGTCATCTCTAATGATATCATACTAGAGATGTCAAATATAAATATTGATTAAATGTCAAGTGAATCTATATAGAGATCTTTACGACTTAAAAAGAGTCATAAATTAATTTATTTTCCTTTGGCTTAGTCCCTTTATTTGTCAGGGGTCGCCACAACGTAATGAACCGCCAACTTATCCAGCATATGCTTTATGCAGCGGATGCCCTTCCAGCTGCAACCCAGAACTGGGAAACAGCCATATACTCTCGGCTTCACACATGCACTCATACACTACGGCCAATTTAGTTCCTCCAATTCATCTATAGCGTATGTTTTTAAGACTGTGGGGTTAACCAGAGTACCCGGCGGAAACCCATGGCAAAACGTATATATATATATAAAATATATATATATAAGTAAGAATATTTAGCCCCCCCTGGATTCGCCCTCCTTTTTATTTTTTTTTCCAATTTATGTTTAACAAAAATAATTGTTTTAACTCATTTCTAAACATAATAGTTTTAATAGCTTATTTATAATAACTGATTCATTTTATCTTTGTCATGATGACAGTAAACAATATTTTACTAGATATTTTTCAAGACACTTCTATACAGCTTAAAGTGACATTTAAGCTGTATTAAGTAGGTTAATCAGGTTAACTAGGCAGGTTAGGGTAATTAGGCAAGTTATTGTACAGGTATAACGATGCTTTGTTCTGTAGACAATCTGAAAAAAATATAGCTTAAAGGGGCTAATAATTTTGACCTTAAAATGGTTTTTAAAAAATAAAAAAATGCTTTTATTCTAGCCGAAATAAAACAAATAAGACTTTCTCCAAAATAAAAAAAAATATTATCAGACATACTGAGAACATTTCCAAATTCATAGGGGAGCTAATTATTTGTTCATGCATAACAATATATAAATACAATCAAAAAAAAGATACAATTGAAATAAAGGGCATTATTTTAATGATCTCGGCGCAAAGTCTAAAGCGCATGGTGCAAAATTAAGGACATGTCTGAGTTCACTTTTTTCTATTTTAAGGATGGAAAAAATACGCTCTGCGCCTTGACGCGTCGTCTAACAGGGTTGTGGTTGTTCTCTTAATGAGTTATTGGTGTGTTTTGAGAATAAACCAATCAAAGTCTCATCTCCCATACCCTTTAAGAGTCAGTCGAGTTGCGGCATGGGACATTTGCTATTTACATGACGGACTTTTTAGGTGCAATGCTTCACTAGCGAGAAAACGGTTAAACAGAGCATCTGCAGCGCGAGGATAAAGAACGAGCCTCCTCCATTCGGCCTCTTTACTTTTGTCTTTAGTAGATAAGGAAACACAGTTGTATGCACTCTACTGAAGACATCCATTAGCCTACATATTTAGATTTGGTTGTTAAGTGCAAAGATTTCTTTTAAAATTATTTCTAAGTTCAGTTCTATTTTCCAGCAAACGAATAAATGTACAAAAATAATGAAGTGTGATCAAAAAACTGTCCAATGTAAAAGTATATCCAAACACACTTTCCTATGCCCTATATGGTCCAAAACCTGACAGTTGGACAAATCTAAGCTTGTTTTTAATAAAACAAATATAAATATGCATATAATAAATACTACTACTAGTAATAATAACATAATACAAAAGCTGCACTGGTCTGAAAATAGTAACAACTGGAAAATACGTCTTGAGCCTTATTGTGTCTGGTGCATGATAGGGCACTACTTCCAATGATCACATTGCGATATCGATGCTGAAACGATATAATTTCTCCCTAATGGGAGGATACAGGCATTGGCTGCGTAAAACATATGCTGGAATAGTTGGCGGTTCATTACACTGTGTTGACCCCTGATAAATAAGGGACTAAGCTAAAGAAAAATAAATAAATGAAAATGTACACTCTCGTGGGGTTTTAAACCTTTATGGGTTTCTTTCTTTTGTTGAAGAATGCTGGTTTCTGGGACTCATTAACTTCCATAGTAGGAAACAAAAGGGGTGGGGTGAACTATCCCTTTAGAAACTTTTATTTTCATCTAAAATTCACTCCAAAACTCCATTTCATTATACAGTTTTCTTTTTCCAGTGACAGCTCTGGTGTCATAAATGAATGATTTATAGTGCTTGTTACTGGTCATTTTAACATAATAGCTAATTTCATTGATATAACAGAAAGGTTGCAGCATTTTGACAGCACAGACATTTCTCAATATCTGGAAGAGCTCTGAAATGTTCAGATGTCAACTGGCTTTCTCTCATTTATCTTCCATCTTCATTTGCATAATTCTAATTAGCCAGTCCTCAGAAAGATCCATTTGCTGTTTCTGGGACCAAAACGCTAAAGTGGCCTGCCGTTTCACAGAACTAATCGCCCCTGACAAATTACTTTGGTCTGGCTGAGAATTGCCTTCGTTAAGCTGCGGATTTCGAGTTTGGTTCTCATAGATTTATTGTATGAGCTGCTTTGTCAAGACAAATATAGTGTGACAGATTGAACTGCATCCTGTGAGGTGAACGCGCTTGAAGATGACAGGGATGTGAAAAAAAAGTGCTGCTGGGAAAGAAGACAACAGAGATGCGATCACACTGTTGTCCGCAGTGGACTGTTTAGTTTTAGTTTAGGCTTGGTTGAAATTTAGAGAGCGCAAGCGGAGAAGACCATTAAACTAGGACTTGTTTTACATTAGTTGTATTATATCTGTTCATGCAGTTGTTTTGTGGCCGATTTACTATAATATATGAACATGGCTGATTTTATTTAGTGACAGGTTTAGTGGTTTTGGGAAACTGAAGAGTTTGTTTCGGAGTATGGGTAGGTTTAACCCTTTCACATATACCAGGAGCAGGGATATTAAATTAGTTTGCTATGGGGGCCGGTTCATGAAAAGCATCCAAAACGAAGGGCCTGAGAGATATGACTTGCTCAACACAATCTCACGGCAATTCGTAACTTTTTCATTTAGTGGCTAATTCGTACAAATTCGTACGATCTAATTCGTACATTTTAGTACGATTTGCGTATCACCCAATGACGGTTGGGTTTAGGGGTGGCGTCAGGTGCCACGCATCCTTTTTAAAATCGTACATTTTCTTACGTCAAGACATGTGCTGTAGGTGATTTGAACAAACTAATTTGACCATAGTGTATGAGTGTGTGTTTGTGAATGTGAGACTGTATGGGTGTTTCCCAGTACTGGGTTGTGGCTGGAAGGGCATCCGTTGCCTAATGCTGCGTTCACACCAGACGTGGAACGCGCGTCAAGTGCGAGTGATTTACATGTTAAGTCAATGCAAACACGCGAATAGACATCCTGCGGTTTGATTCGTGAATGATGCGAGTTGCGCGAATGGCGCGGCGCGAATAGAGCATTTTGCCCGTTTGACGCGCGAATCGCTCGAGTTCGAAAACCTGACCTTCACGTTACTTCGCGTTAACCAATCAGGAGCTTGCTCTTGTGGGCCGTGATTGTGACGTAGAACCTGTTAATGGTGTCCCGGGGGAAATCTTCCAGCCAACACCGAGTCCGACAACAAGTCATCAAACTGGGCTTGGCTCAGTCAGAAGCACCGCTGAAAGCCTCCGTCATCCAGGCTCAGTTTCTGGAGGAGTTTATGAGCTCATAGAGCTGGATGCACCTTTGAAAGCATGTAGTGGACTCAGACACGACCCTAAACGTATCAACACTGTTTTTCAGCCTTCATAAAGCACATAAACACTGTTATTTTCTTCATAAAATCCATGTTAGCTATTTAGCTACGAAGCTAGAGTCACCGGGCAGACAGAAGCCCTGCCCCTCACGGGAATCCGCGTCTGTTCTGAAGTGAATTTGACACGCGAATGAAGCAGATTTGACGCGCGAATGAAGCGAGTAAACTCAAATGTTCACGCAGCTATTTACGCGTGAATAGCGCGATTTATCTGCGCGTTCCGCGTCTGGTGTGAACACAGCATTAAACTTATGCCTGAATAGTTGATGGTTTATTCCACTGTGGTGACCCCTAATAAATAATGGACTTAGCTGAAGGAAAATGAATGAATGAATGAATGAATGAATGAATGTCCAAGGTAAGTCTACAGGCATTCATCCTTGGACAACCACAGCAATATTTAAGCCCTGGCTATCGATGTCATTCACTCTTTGTTGTGGCCTAACGGTTGTAGGGGCAGTTGAGATCTAGTGGTTAAGGAGTCAGAATCCAAAGGTCACAGATTCTATTCCCGGTGAGGATAGTGAATGAACGGCGCTCTCAACTAAGTCAGAGGCCCTTGAACAAGTCACCCTTAATAACCTGTATTTACCAGTGTTTTTTTAGCCACCGATAAAACTTCCTGTTTTCAAAACTATTCTATTAAGATAAGACTGTTCAATTTTTCAAAACTAAAAGTCAGGTGGATTAACTCCATGGTTCCCCAGGTGCTGGAGGAAATGGCTGCCCACTGCTTCAGGTCTATTCTTACAGTGTTTGTTTTTGTATGTGTGTGTGAACTCATTTCTCTCTTATAACGTGTCTGTGTGTGTGTGGGCGCTTGGATGGGTCAGATGGTGAGGACCAACTTCGAGTGTGGGTAAAACAATACTTCACATTATTTGATCCTAAAATGTTTTTCTTTTTCCACATACAGGTCACCATCCTTATTGTTCTGGCCTTAGCCTTCCTGGCCTGCATAGTGTTCCTGGTGGTGTACAAAGCCTTCACCTATGACCACACCTGCCCTGACGGCTTTGTGTATAAGGTAAGTGGAAGATCACAATACTCACAATGTTTTTTTTGTTTTGAGCACAATAAATGTTACATAAATCTTAATTACTGACATTTAGAAAGATCAGACATGTTGCCAGTTAGAAAGCTACTGTACTTGTTGAACAACTCAATGTCATAGTTGTACGCACACACTTAGGAACTTTGGTGGTTTACAGGGACTTTCCATTGGCGTAATGTATTTTGTACAGAAATAAACACTTATTATATGGCCCTGCACCATTCCTACCTAAATCAGGCAAAATTTTAATGTCAAAAGACACCATTAAGCATGATTTTGAAGTGTTTTGAATTACAGTTAAAGGCGGCATGGTGGCTCAGTGGTTAGCATTGTCGCCTCAAAAGAAGAAGGTTGCTGGATTGAGTCCCTGCTGGGCCTGTTGGCATTTATCTGGAGTTTGCTAGTTCCCCGTGTTCGCGTGAGTTTCCCGGTGCTCTGGTTTCCCTAATATCTTCACAATATCTTTCAGAATTGGATAAACAAAATTGGCCATAATGAATAAGTGTGTATGGGTGTTTCCCAGTACTGGGTTGCAGCTGGAAGGGCATCCGCTGTGTAAAACATATGCTGGAAGAGTTGGCGGTTTATTCCGCTGTGGCGACCCCTGATTAATAAAGGACTAAGCTGAAGTAAAATGAATGATTAAATTACAGTTAGTCATAAACCATCGTAACAAGAGCAAAGCTATGCCATATGCATGTCATTATATTAAAAACTGTCCTTGTAAACCACCAAAACCAGTACACACACACTTCTGCTCTGCCAGAACACCACATAAGTCCTCTCCGCTCATCTACTAGTGGTGTTTGTTTCAACAACTACTTTTGCAGAAAAAACACTTTTGAATCTAGTTTAAACAGGATAAGTTTCATACAAGATCTGACTGCTGGACAACATTGCTACAATATGTTAATTTGAACTTGTTTTGGTGCATGTCACAAAAATAAACCAATATTAAAAGTATACTTAACACGTACAGTTGAAGTCAGAATTATTAGCCCCCCTTTGATTTCTTTTTTCTTTTTTAAATATTTCCCAAATGATGTTTAACAGAGCAAGGAAATTTTCACAGTATGTCTGATAATATTTTTTCTTCTTATTTGTTTTATTTCGGCTAGAATAAAAGCAGTTTTACATTTTTTAAAAGTAATTTTAAGGTAAAAATTATTAGCCCCTTTTTTTTCGACTGTCTACTGAAGAAACCATTGTTACTTGCCTAATTACCCTAACATTCCTAATTAAGCTGTATAGAAGTGTGTTGAAAAATATCTAGTCAAATATTATTTACTGTCATCATGACAAAGATACTGGACAGAAAGGGCTATTTTAAACCTATCCATAACTAGCATACAGGAGGAGTAATCTATCAATACATACTCTGAATAGTTAACTATACACATAACCTAAGACATGCTATACAAGTAGTTTTAACACAAGACAGTACAGAACAATCATTATGTGTCACATAAGGAGGACATGTTGGCTTTAGAATGAAAACTGACATCGATTTGTAATTTCCACCTTTCCCAACAGCACAAACGCTGCATCCCTGCCTCGCTGGAGGCCTATTACACTGCCCAGGACGGCAACAGCCGTGGGCGATTTTACACCGTCATCAGCCACTACAGCATGGCCAAGCAGACCACCTCGCGCTCGCTTTCCCCATGGCTCCCGGCTGGAAGCGCCCAACATGACGTCAAGCCCCCCAACACAGACAGCCAATGAGAATCTGCCGCTTTCTAAAGGGTTTTCATCACGTCCAACTCAGTCCCCCAATTCCCCAACATTTCATTCGTTTCTTTGAGTCTGACGTTTACGTTTTTAGCTGTGTAGTTTTAATCTTACTCCTTTCTGTTATCCATTACTATTTATTTTCGTTGTACATTTGATTTCGTATTTATTATTCAGCTATTGTTTGTACAAAGGCATGACTCTGCAATCTTGTCCAGCGGTTTCCCCCACAATCGATGTCTGTGAGTGTCAATGACCCATAATGGATTCAGAAATACCCCATAAGCCCCTTAGTAGTTAGGTTACAGCGATCAGGCATGATAAAACACTGGGAGTTTTGTGCATTTATCTCTAAAACAGAAGAAAATATAGATGCTCTCTTATTAGAATATGAAAACAGAAACCCTACCTGTTAACCTCATTTTTATGTACGACCTATTACAACATACTAAGAAAAATAAGGTTATAGGCCAGCACTAAAGTGGCAAAAGAACATATTCTACATGTACAGAATGGTATGGTTCCTACTTTGAACCTCAATGTAAATAAGTCATGAGAGCAATTACCTTATATGGTGTGTTTCTCCGTCTAGACACGTTGTTACATTCACACTGTTTCTCAATGGATGGAGGTGTTTAGAGCTTCGCGACTCGCTTTAGCTGGTGTTTACGCTTGCATTTAACCAGGGCCCAAACCTTGGACTCTTTTGAGATGATCTGGTGAAATGTTTCATCCGAATTCCTGCCAAAGCTTGATTTTTTTTTTCCTGCTCTGTTTGGTCACAGGTCTGCTGTTTTTTCCATTTTTATATTTGTTGTCAGAAAATGGAACTTTGGAATCTTGTGGTGTTGTTAGTTGAGATGTAGCAAAGCCTTGAGTATTTTCGAATTGTGTATTCTTTAGGTTGAAAATAATAAAAATATACAAGGTGTTCAACTGTTGTGTTATTTGGTTCTTCTTTTTGGTTATTTGGTTGGGTGTTTGCACAAGCTGTGTGTGTTTGTTTGCGTACTTGTTTGTGTGTGTTGCTGGTATTCACTAAACTGTGGGGACCACATGTTTTTCGTCCAGAATGATGTGATTTGAAAATGTAAAACTGGAGAATGTTTTCTTTGAGGGTTAGCGGGAAGGGTAGAAAATATAAAGCCTGCAATGTCAAAAAATCATTACATCTATGGGTAAGTCACCAAATGTGTGTGTTTGAATAAACCAGGGGTGTCCAAACTCAGTCCTGGAGGGCCGGTGTCCTGCATAGGTTAGCTCCAACTTCCTCCAACACACCTGTCTGGAAGTCTAGTATACATGGAAAGAGCTTGATTAGTTGGTTCAGGTGTGTTGGGGTTGGAACTAAAATATGCAGGACACCAGCCTTCCAGGACCAAGTTTGAACACCACTGGAATAAGCTAATTAAAATAATACACAAACTCAGACCATAGTGAGAATGAAAGGTCTAGTAATTTAGAGTAAAACAGTAAAACATTTACCACTACGTCATGTTGCCATTCCTTTTCACAACACTTAAAAGTCGTTTAGGGACTGAAGACACCAAGTGATGAAGTGTTTCAGGTGTAATTTTGTCCCATTCTTCCTGCAAACAAGCCTTAAGGTGTGAAGCAGTGCGGGGTATTCATTGTCCAATTTTGTGCTTCAAAATGTGCCACACATTCTCAAATGGAGACAAGTCGGGACAGCTTGGACCTTTTAGGACCAAGTTTGGACACCACTGGAATAAGCTAATTAAAATAATACACAAACTCAGACCATAGTGAGGATGAAAGGTCTAGTCCGATGATCACTAGTTTGCCAAGAAAATACCTGAGAAAATTATTGAAATGTTTAAAAACAATGTTCCTCAAAGAAGATAGGAAGACATTTGGATATTTCACCTTCAACATAGTGCATAAAATCATTAAAAGGTTCAAGGAATCTGGAGGAATTTCAGTGTGTAAAGGACAAGGGAGTAAGCCTAAGCTGAACTACCGTGATCTCCGATCCCTCAGGTGGCACTGCATCAGGAATCGTCATTGATCTATAATATCACCACATGGGCTCAGAACTCCTTTGGCAAACGTTTGTCAACTACAATATGTAGTTACATTCACAAATGCCATTTAAAACTGTACTGTGCCAAAAAAGCCCTATGTTAACAATGTCCAAAAGCATGTCAACTTCTTTATGCTCGGAGGCATCTTGGATGGACCATCACACGGTGGAAACTTTTGCTGTGATCAGACGATCAGGTGTCTTTCCAGGTATTTTTGGGAAGGAATGGACACCATGTACTCCGGACTAAAGAAGAAAAGGATCATCCAGACTGTTTCCAGCTACAAGACTAAAGCAAGGGTCTGTCATGGTGTAGGCTTGTGTCAGTGCCCTTGGCAATGGTAACTTATTAGTATTAGTATTAATGCTGAAAAGTACATAGAGATTTTGGAGCACAATATCCCTTCTTTTCCAAGGATACCAATGCATATTTCAATAAGGCAATGCAAAACCACATTACAAAGTCCTGGCTGCAAAGGAAGATGAGTAAAGTATTTTTGACTTGCCTGTCTGCTGTCCCGACTTGTCTCCAATTGAGAATGTGTGGCACATTTCGAAGCACAAAATTGGACAATGAATACCCCGTACGGTTTCACATCTTAAGGCTTGTTTGCAGGAAGAATGGGACAAAATTACACCTGAAACACTTGATCACTTGGTGTCTTCAGTCCCTAAATGTCTTTTAAGTGTTGTGAAAAGGAATGGCAACATGACGAAGTGGTAAATGTTTTACTGTTCCAGCTTTTTTTGGAAATGTGTTGCAAGAACTAAAATTATATAATGTTTGTTGTATTGTCTGCAATGAAATACGTCAAAGTACATTTAGAAATCGCTTTCCTTTTTTATTTCCCTTTTTTTATTCTGTCCCAACATTTTCTTATTTGGGTTTGTAGAAGTATTGTATAAGATCTGAATAACACTCATTTGAATAACACTCATTATTCATAACATTACCTATTGTAACTATAACTTATTGTAAAGTTTAACTAGGAATTCAGGAACTTTTTATTTTTAAATTTTAACGTTATAGAATGCAAAATTAGTTATTTTTGAGTTGCCTAGTAGGACTGTAATACAGTCTGTCATATCTGATAACTGCGTAATTCATTAAATATAATGGCAACCCCATAAACTATTTCAGAAATACCTCACTTATCTGCTTAAAACCATGCCGAATGACTTGACAAATCTGCCAGAAGTCATTCTGCTGACTCAAGAGCCCACCGTTTTGTGTCTCTTGGGTGGGCTGGAGTCTCATTTGAGTGAAGCACAGCAGTCGTGCATTAGACTGACAGCTGGTTTATTTCTGCTTGGATAATTAGCAGGCCTGTTGGTCTCGTCTGTTCATCGCTCTGCTCCATCTCCCATTCTCTCCTGCTGAGAAGACTGAATGTCAAGATACCTACTGAAATCAACCGCCATGGACAACTGCTCTATAATCAATGAACTACAAATACTTGAGGAAAATGAAGACCATTTAAACACTTTTTATATAAGTACTGAGCATTGGGCGAAGTCGTATCAAAATAACAAATATTTTCATGGAGCAGAAAATGGATGTATTTTTTTAAAGTCGGCATTAAACAAGTTTAGGAAGTATAGAACCGCATGATTTTTGTCTGTTGGGAATTGAATTGTTGGAAGATGGATGTAGCTAACAAAATGGAGGGATATTGATGAATGGATGAAGGCAGGCCAGCAACGAGACACGCACTGATAGCCCCGCCCCAAATGCATTCCATGTGACCAGAAGTGATGAAAAGTCATTTCAAGGGGAGCAAGAAGGTTATGAAATTGTATTAGATATTCTGAGGGCAAATTAATTTTAACAAAATAATGAAGATACATTGTTTATAACAAGCACTACTATATACAAATAAACCACGAGTACATTTTGATTTGCAAGCCTAAATCCAAAACCATGAGCAAGTATGAACAATGCAGTAACTTTAGGTGCGTTCGACTTCATGCAGCGCTGCGCAGATCGATCGAAATCTGTCTTACAACAGTGCATGCTGGTTAGAAATCTTGTCCGGATTGATGCTGTGCCGAAGCCACGTGACTGTCACATGTGGCATCAAAGTACCGCGACAGTGCTCCGAGATCAGGCGGCAGACTCAGACCGTGCAGCATCTGAAGAGCGGCTGCAGGAGCTCTGATGACGACACCGATATTACACGATTGGCCGAGTTCCTCACATGACAACAAACACGTGTGTTTCGGGTTTATTATTGGACAAATTCCGAAAGCATTTGTTATATATTTTAATCATAATTCTCCCTTATTGTTCAAAATTGTACAACTATAGTTTGAAGAGACTGTATTCTGTTTTATTTGAAAATGTTTTGTTGTTATAAATAAAAAATTATGATGAAGCAGTGTGATCGGTCATCATGACAGCAGCAACTTTGAGTACCGAAGTGTCTAGCTGTCCGGCTTGACAGCTCCGTTTTCAACTCCGCCCCCACCTGCGCTCAGCTAATCTCGTTGATCACCGACTGCAGCTGTGCTTCATGTCGAACGCACCTTTTGTTAAAGGGCCACGAACCCCCCCTGTTTCAGCAGGGTGTTTTCACACCTCTAGTTTGGAATAAGTCACGAAAGTGGGTGTGTCCAACTCTGTTTAAGGGGGAGTGTTGGAGAAGGTAAAGAGGGAAGGTGCATTAAAATGGGAGCACGCGCTGATTTTCACAGAGACAAAACAAACAGACGCAGGGGAGAAAAACAGTGACTGTGTTTATATGGACATCAGTAGTCAAATTATTTGCCAAATTATCAAATGGTGGACTTTACCTGTTGTTTGGCACTTTCACTCAGGAACATTTCATTCATGCCCCTCGTGACAAACAAGATATTTGATTCGTGGAACTGCTGGAAGCGTGCATTTTTAACGGAATGTTTGCGAATGAGAGAACCCCTCCGCGTTTCTTGGTAACTTAGATGCTCTCGGTAGGTTTGAGATGAGCCTTCTCTTGCCAGAGAAGTTTGAGATGCGAAAACAAAAACTGCACAAATATGTGCCTCCCGGGACGTATTTCGCGGTCTCCAGAAACGTCCACGGGACTACGTTTTCAGAATGAGCCTGGGTTGACATTTTCTGTTATTTTATAGGCTTATTTCTCTCTATATTGTTTCTTATTATATTATTTAAAAATAGCAAAATGTCAATAAAATTCACTGTTGGAGTTCAGTTTTCAACATCCAAAGTGGACAGAGCAGAGATCAAAATCCCAAAATGCAATTTAAACCCATAAAAAGAGGAAAACACTAGTGAATCACAAAACACACTGTTAATTATTTTTACAGTGTATGCATGTTCTTATTCAGCCTATAGCAATGTGTATTAATTCTGGTGTACTACAAGACAGATCTGTGTAATCAGGGATTTTGACAGTGTTGTCATTTATATGCAAAACATTCAAAAATGCATCAGAAAAAAACGTTTTCAATTGTTACTGCATCATTTGAATGAGGCTTTCAGCTATCAAGCTCAATTTCATGATTGCTTTTGAACTGCGTCAGGTGCAATTTATAACATGTCACAGCATTTATTCTCCACACTGTCAAAAGGCCTGCTAATGTAAAAATGATCCTTGAGAGATTTCTTATAGGTTGTCTTCTTTCTAGCAGATCTTGATTTCAATCTTGCTGTGTGAGTTTGTTAAAGCTGACATGCTAATACCTGGAACTCAGTTATACCACTTCAGTTTAATGGCAGATATTTGAACACTTTCACACCATTGAGTGTTAAGGTTTGTATTGCAAAGCAAGAACATATTACTTAAGTTTTATGTTCATTTACATCCAAGTCGTACTTTTATAAAGCAAGTTTTTAGCTTTATCGTGTGCCACCTAAAGAATTAAAGGGGTAGTTCACACAAAAACTGAACAT